AAAGCAGTGTTACATCATGACCTTGGATCCAGACCAGTCTGGTATTACTGCTCACGCCTTCATTGACTAGGCAAGTACTCAAGTTGTCTGAGCTTCTATTTTCATAAAAAGGGGGAACATATCTATTAGAAATATGGGAAGAATTAGACATCATGTATGGAAAACTCACAAGGTCTAGCTCACAGGAAGCTTACAGTAAATGGAAGAACTGAACTAAGTAAATGGAAGACTTGTACTGATACTGACTAAGTACAACTTTGCTAAGTCACTTAGTAAATTTCTGGGGGTCTCATTTCTCCCATTTAAAATATGAATGGATCTACTTCATACAATTCTGATTCTATAATTTCTTTTAATTCTGGACTATTTTTTACACTTTAGCTATAAGAAGAATGGCTTTATTTCTGAAAATAGCATTTCTATTCTCAGTCAGTGAAGTTTAAAGCAATTGAGGACCTCAGAATCCAGAGGCAAACACTAATGATGAGCAGTCTAACTATTTATGCTATATAGTTTTGATGATTCAGAAAAAAAAAATCTACAAATCAACTCCATGCCAAAGGACAGCCATCTCTGCTGCCTCACTTGTCGATCATAGTACCTCTGTCTCTCTTGCCTAAAAACATCCCCAGCACCATCGGTAGGAGGCAGCAGAGGCCGCAGAGATCCCTGGCTGCCATGTGCTCCAGTCTACAGCTGCCATGAGACCCGAGGTGAACCTAACAACAGAGGGGCCAGGACCGGGCTGCATCTCACTCAGAGGAGCCAAATCACACCTCCCGGGCCAGGAGACCTGGTTTGGCCCTGGTTCTGTGAGCGAGGCCTTGCTGACACAGCACTAAGGGAAACCTGACTGGCAGCCAGGTGGGCTGACAGAGCAGAGGGCTGGCCTCGGGCAGCAGCACCTCACTGAGATCCCTGTGAGCGGGAGGGAAACAGCAGAGGGCTCTTCTCAAGCTAGAAGCTTCCCTACTGGGAAAACTAAAGCTCCCACTGGATTTCCCTTCCTCACCAGGACAGACATGAGGTAAATGCTACAAGCTGCTCTGACAAGCATCTGCCAGACCGAATGGGCAAGTGTGGGAAATACCTGTCACAATCCAAGAGGACAAGAACCAGACACAGACCCAGGAGAAGTGTCCACGGACACTATCCTCATCCCCTCTGCCCTGAACTCGCCCTCTGCTCCTTCTTCTTTCTGGCTCTGACTAGCAAGAACTAACGAGAGAGAAGACCGCAGCAGCTGCACCGCTGAATGCAGTCAAGACAGGTGAGCACGGCGTCCAGCACTGAGGCTGCACAGAGGAATGAGCCTGGAAAGAAGCTCAACTCCCTTGAGGGGAGCAACTCTGGCAAATTTCTGAGTTGAGGATGCGACTTTTTGAGGAGAATTCCCAGCCCAGGACAGGACAGGACAGTACTACTACACTTAACAAGCTACAAATCCAAGAACACAAAAATGCTTACCAACTTAAAATTAAACTTCTGTTCTCAAATTGAACAATATTGGCCCAATCATAATGAATTCACTTATAACCAACCAGTGAAATAATTTAAATGGCACACAAATACTAAGGGTAGACAAAGCCATTCATGGTAACTGTTGAGGCAGCCTGCCAGGTGGGCTCTGGTTCTTGGTACTGCCTGCAGAATCTGCTGCCCCACAGAAGGTGGGTTTAAGAAAGCAAGGCATTTTAAAAGTCCCCTTAGCTCACATAGTGCAGCACATCGTACACATTACAACTTAAATAAAATCTAATGGCTGTACTTTTAAACAATCTAATTGCCAGCTCTATTAAGGCAAAAGAAAACCACAGAGACATGAATGCACACTTCACAAGACAAGCTGCAATTTAAAATACTCCCAAATCTTCCTATGCAGACATTTCACAGTACTCTGCAGTTAAGAGCATGGATTGTGGATTACACCACCTGGATTCAAATCCTGGTTCCACCACAGTAACTGTGGGATCTGAGGAAGATTTTTAATACCTTCTTTAGTTAAAGTGGAGATAACACTCCAGGCCTTGTAAGGTTGTGGTTAGGACCAGAGGACATAACAAATAAAACACTTGAAACAGCGAGTGCCTGAGAGGGCCTAATAAAGGTTAGTGACAACCATGATAAGAGAAAGGTAATGCTCATTCAAAAATCCAAGACTACACGCTATAACTGCAGACTGTAGCAAAGTCACCAAAATCAGAGCTTTGCCCTCACCAAGCTTCATTTAATGGCAAGCAGCCACTTCTTCATAAGCTTTCTATAAAGGGCAATGAATTAAACTATAAAGTTTTAAAAAGTAAAATATCAGCTCAGTTACATAAGGAGGTAAAAGCCATGTTTAAAGAAGAGCAACAGCATTTAAAAACACCATCACCTGCAGCACATCTTGAATGCACCACAAATAGCACATACTGCCAACACAGGCACCTGTTTTCTTCTTCTAGCTTTAGAAACAGAAGCTGGACATAAAACAGACTTCAATAAAGCTGATTTTAAAAGAAAAAGAAATGAAAGCAGAAGGGCGAACAGACAACCCCGAGACTCCCCGCCTGGGGCCAAAGCAGCAGCCTGGGGGGAGGCAAGGGGGCGTCCTCACCACCACCACCACCACCAGAAGCCACAGGATGGCGCTTCTGACCCTGCACGAGGCCACCAGGGCCAAATGAGGACAGCTAAGAACTGATCAAAGGATTGACAGCAGTGTATAGGAAAGCCTGGAAAATCAAGTAATTCAATTACACCATGACTTTTAGAAAATAACCAAGTAGTAAATGTTAAACTATGAGCCCTTAAAAATCACAGAAAGGTTATAACTCAATAAAATAAAATTCAAAAAGAAAAGAAAATCACAGAAAGCTCAGCCATTTTGTACAGTACGAACAAGAGGAACACACATCTCTTCTTTCACTTAAGGAAAGATACAACCAATCAAAAACATTTCTTGACTGCCTATGATATGAAGGAAGCTAAAGAGATGCAGAACTCACAACACTTGATCTGGGACCCTGAGGTGCTCACAATGCAGCTCGAGAGATGGGATGGCTGCCCTGTGCTGGTCACTATGCTGGACGCTTTATCAGCAATCCCTCCAATGTCATCTCCACAATAAAACCATGTATTAACATCCAGATTTTTCAAGTGAGACCGGTTCACAGAAGTTAAGCCGTAATTTGATCAGGGTCACAAAGTAGTAAGTGCCAAAGTAAGAATTTAAAATTCAGTCTACTGCCAAGCCATGGACTCCATATACTTTCCCCTATTCCAATGGTTCTCAGTGAAAGGAAATTGTGCCCCCCCCCCCGAGTATATCTCACAAAGTTCAGAGACATTTTAATTGTCACAAAGGAGGAGGGGGGGGAGTGGTAGCTGATACTGGCATCTAGTGGGCAGAGGCCAGGGAAACACCCTAAATGCACAGGACAGGTCCCTACAATAAAGGATTATCCAGTTCAAAATGCCAGCAGGGCCAGGGCTGAGAACCTCTGGCCTATGACACTTCACAACCATTAAGAAAGGACCATTAAGAACAACAACAAAAAAACCCCCAAAAACTACAGTTTAAAAAAAAAAATAAAAGGCCAAATGTAGACTGCAAGCAACCCTGGAAGGGAAGAAATAGCACCCTTAATTGGAGTATAGTACAGGAAGCCTTTGTCACAGTGGGATTTTGGTTGTCTTTATAAACATGGGTACAGAAGAAAAGGTGGCATTTTCTGCAGGTTAAGACAAAAGAAATGAATCAAAGATGTGGAGCTTCAAAAATGGCAAATTTTCTCTTTAAATAAACCTACAAAAATGAAACTAGTAAAAATTTACAAATAAAAATTCTGGAAAAGCAGCATGTGTTTATAAACGCTTGAGGTATCTTCGAATATTCATAAGAAACTCATAAAATCTTGGCTGACTCTGGAAGGGAAACGGTTTATCCAAAGGACATTTATGCATCTTACCTATTTAAAAGACTGATCAATTAATGGGAAAAAGTTTACCTGCCAGGAGATAAAGAGCTGAAGTTAGGTTTGCAAGGAGAAATACAGGCTTCCACCAGATGACAGAAACCCTTAAACAGGTTCATGGGAAGAACAGTGATTTAACTTTTATAGGTCATAAGCTAAGCACAAGTCTAAAGGTATTATTATATGATGCTTGAGAAGACAGTAAGTGCACATGCTCCACAGCTAGACTCCCTGGGTTTGGTGTCCTGCTCCACCACAGTTTTTATGTTATTTCCTGAGTAGGACCAAGTTACTTAACCTCAGTTCTTCTTCCATAAAATGGGAAGAATAAAATCCTAGACAGGTCTAGTTCAACCTCTGGGCCTGGAGACAAGGAAGGGGCTTCAAACCACCTGGTCCCCTTCTCAAGCAAACCATGTAACCTCCTTGATATGACTTAATCTGCAGAAGTTTCTGTGGAAATTATCCATTATATCAGAATACACAATCTAGAATAAGTCATATCTGCAAGTTTCTTAATTTAGGCTGTAGGGGCAATGAGTCAAAGACTGGTGTATTGCATGCAGAAAACTGAATCTGCTGAACATTTCTAATTAGAAGGAGATCTTCCCTACCTGGGCACTTTCACTCTGAAGACTCTTGCTGCAGCATTCACACTGAACCAGGCTCTAACTAAAGGTTTCCTTCTGAACCAAGTACACATCTACTACAATACTCCATATATAACAAACATTTCTTAAACGGTCTTTCACTTACTCTCCATCCAAATACTTAGAAACAGCAAATAAACACAATGAATTACCTGTTTCTTTCGAACTACATTTACTATTTTCTAAGGAACTAAGTGGGGTGTTTTGTAGCATCGATATTGGATAAAACAACTTCTCACTATACTGCATCATCTACCCGAAAAAAGATGAATACGCCAAAGGAAATGTACGTGTGACATTTACACATTGTTCCCTTCAGAAGACATAATGGCTTATCATTAAATAAATATTAAACTGATTTAAGAGCTTCAAAATGTTACATACTGTAATACGCATATGTATTTTTAAAACAGGAATTATACATAAATTTAAACATATACATGTGTATATGTTTGTGTGTACATGTACTGTTTTTCTTTAAAAAACAGGAATTCATGTTGAAAGGGTAGCCAGTTAGGCATGAGAGATGCCCTCATAAGCCTTACCTGTCGAATGATACTCTTCACACAACGTACTGGGAGGCCTTGGTAGTTGGATTTGATGATCCACTTGAGGAGATGGTGGCCAAGCACTTCAAAGACCATGCAGACGTCTGGGACAGGGTTAAGGATCATGTGTGGAGACATTTCCTGGAGTAATGCAAATACTAAAAGTAGCATCATTGTGGCACTGGGTAAAATAATTATTTCTATATAAAATGCAACATTAATACTATCAGTAATACCAAAAGTGGTCATTTGCCGTTTCTCATCTAAATAGAAAGACCTAACATTTACTAAGTACTTATTATGTGCCACATTACTTACTGTGTACTCATAACAACCTTAGGAATGAGAATAGTAAAACTCAGAGAGTTTGAAGAACTTTCCAGCGACCCCGAGTCAAAGGTGGCAGAGCCATGACTCAACGCCACACGTGCCTGAACTCTCCCTCCTCCAACCTCACTCCTCCTTACCATCAGCCTTAACAAAAATAAGCAAGACTGAAACTCCACACAAACTGATGAGGAAAAGAACACAGAACTCCCCCGTCTTGAGTGTCTTGCCCGCCTACCTAAATTTCTATTTCATACGTTACATAAAACACTTTATAAAATGGAAATTTACCGAACACAATGAAGATGTTTAATACTTTCCTTCAATAACACCTTTCATTGTGTAACAGGATCAATTTTACTACTACATGCAGTTTGTAAAAATGTATGATCCCAACTTAAAACATGGCATGTCATAAGACCAACCTATAAAAATGAAATCTCAGGATTCTGGGGGTTTTTATAATAAAAATTTCAGTCAACCACTGATCTTCCAGAACAATGATCCACCAAAGTCCACCATATAAATATATTCATGTCATTCTCATAGAAAGATTTAAAATGGCTCTGAAACCATCTGAGAATACAATGTTCACCCCTGGAGGCCTGCTGACAACCTATTGAGGAAGGTTATTTAATTTAGTATTACAATAATCTGAATTTATCATATCATCACAATATCCACTGCTATAAATGATTTTAATAAAATATTAAAAAATATTTCTACAATGTTGGAAACATATCCACAGATTTACGCATTGATGATGTAAAGTCAGAAATTCCTTACTATTTCCCAGGCTCCTTTAAAAAAATGGAAACCAAGGTTTAAAGTTAGTAGCAGACAGAGAGCCAAAGCCTAAGGTTTTTAAATTTGGATGGAATCTGACAATTATTGACTATGTAACAGTACAAACAGCCAAACATATGAAGAAGAACTTATACTTATCTCTCTCAAACTCTTCCAAAAAACTGAAGAGGCGGGAATACTCTCCAAAGGCATTCAATGAAGCCAGTATCACCCTGATACCAAAACCAGACAAAGATACTACCAAAAAAGGCCAATATCGTTGATGGATACAGATGGAAAAATCATCAACAAAATACTAGCAAACTGAATCCAAGAAAACATAAAAAAGATCACATACAATAATAAAGGTGGATTCATTCCAGGTTCACAAGGATGGCTCAACATACGCAAATCAAACAATGTGATAACCCTATCAGCAAAAAAAGGACAAAACCCACATGATCATTTCAATAGATGCAGAAAAGACATCTGATAAAAGTCAACACGCATTCTTTGATAAAAACTTCTCCAAAGTGGGTATACAGGGAACATAGCCCAACATAATAAAAGCCATTTATGACAAACCCACAGTCAATATAACATTCAACAGTGAAACACCGAGAAGTCTTCATGCTAAATTCAACAAGATGACAAGAATGTCCACTTTCCACTTTTATTAAACCTAATATTGGAAGTCCTAGCCACAGCAATCACACAAGAAAAAGAAATAAAAGTATCCAAATTGGAAAGAAAGATGGAAACTTGTCATTATTTGCAGATGATATGATACCTAAGGACTCCATACAAAAACTATTAGAATCAATACATTCAGAAAGGTAGAAAGATACAAGATTAATATACAGAAATCAGTTGCATTTCTTTACATTAACAATGAAATATCAAAGAGAAAGTTAATAAAAAAATGTTTAAAATTACATCCAAAAAAAAAAAAACTACAAATTAACCTAAACCAAGGAGGTTAAAGACCTGTAAGCTGAGAACTATGAAATACTGATAAAGGAAACTGAATATGATTCAAAGAAATAGAATGATATGCCATGTTCTTGGATTGGAAGAATTAACATTGTTAAGATGGCCATACTACACAAAGCAATCTACAGATTTAATGTGATCTCTATCAACTTACTCATGACATTTTTCTTGGAACCAGAACAAGTAATTCTAAAATTTATATGGAATCACAAAAGACCCAGAATTGCCAAAGCAATCCTGAAAAATAGAACAACACTGGAAGAATAACCCTCCCAGACTTCAGACAATACTACAAAGCTACAGTAACATAAAAAGCGACATATATATCAATGTGACAGAAGAGAGAGTCTGGAAATAAACCCACAGACCTATGGTCAATTAATCTTCAACAGAGGATGCAAGAATATACAATGGAAAAAACAGTCTCTTCAGCAAGTGGTGTTGGGAAAGCTGGACAGCCTCATGTATATCCATGGGTGGAGAACATTTTCTTACACCACACACAAAAATAAACTCAAAATGGCTCAAGGACTTAAATATCAGACATGATACCATAAAACTCCTAGAAGAGAACACAGATAAAACATTGTCTGACATAAATCACAGCAATATATTCACAGATCAGTCTCCCAATGCAAAAGAAGTAAAAGCAAAAGTAAACAAACAGCTAATCAAATTTACAGGCTTTTGCACAGGAAAGAAAACCATCAACAAAACAGAAAGACAACCTACAGAATGGGAGAAAATATCTGCAAAAGATGCGACTGACAAAGGGCTTTATTTCCAAAATACACAAACATCTAGTACAACTCAATATCAAATAAAGAAACAACCTAATAAACAAAATGAGTAGAAAACCTAAATAAACATTCATCCAAAGAAGACACAGAGACGACCAACAGGCACATGAAAAAATGCTGAACATCACTATTAGAGAAATATAAACCAAAACTACAATAAGGTATCATCTCATACCAGTCAGAATGGCCATCATCAAAATGTCTACAAATGATAAATTCTGGAGAGGGTGTGGAGAAAAGGGAACCCTCCTACGCTGTTGGTGGGAATGTAAACTGGTACAGCCACTGTGGAAAACAGTATGGAGGTTCCTTAAAAAACTAAAAATAGATTCACCATATGATCCAGCATTCTTGCTCATGGATATATATCCAGAAAAGAGGAAAACTCTAATTCAGAAAGATACATGCACCCCAATATTCACAGCAGTAACATTTACAATATCTAAGAACTTGAAAGCCACCTAAGTGTCCATCAACAGATGAATGGATAAAGAAGATGTGGTATACATATGCGTGTGCGTGCACACGCGCGCGCACGCGCGCACACACACACACACACACACACACACTGGAGTATTACTCAGCCATAAAAAGAATGAAATACTGCCATCTGCAGCAACATAGATGGACCACAGTAAGTCAAGTCAGACAGAGAAAGACAAATATTACTTAATATCACTTATATGTGGAATCTAAGAAATACTATAAAGTTATTTATAAAACAAACAGATTCACAATGAAACTAAATTTATGAGTACCAAAGGGGGAAGTGGAAAGGGGATAAATTAGGAGTATGTGATTGACAAATGCAAACTGGTATACATAAAATAGATGAACAAGGATTTATTGTACAGCACAGGGAACTATATTCAGTGTCTTGTAATAACCTATAATGGAAAAGAATCTGAAAAAGAATATATTACACATATATATGACTGAATCACTTAGCTTTACACCTGAAACTAACACAATATTGCAAATCAACTATAGTTCAATTTAAAAAGATTGTTGGATCTGTTCCAAAGATGACATAAGGAAAGAGTAAAAGATGAGGAAGGACAGGAAGGCTCCTGACACTCCCCTGGCAGTCACCAACCACAGGATTCTGAACACTTAGTTCAGTATTCCTGACCCTTGGGAAATGAAGGTACTGCCCATGTCAGGCACTTAAAGGGCTATCTTAGAGGATCCAATATGAAAATATGGAAACAGCACTCTGGAAACTAAAGGCAGGATTCTGTGCAGGATCAAGTGTAACTCTGCTATGTTGACACTGGCAGAGCATTTTTGCTCTTATTGCCTCAACTTCATGTGATTCTTTGCAGCTACTGGAGGATACATAGCCTTGGAGTACTAATTTTTAAAAGTTTAAAGCAAATAGTGCTGGCATACACTTCCCCCTACCACTGCAAAAGTAAACTTCACTAGAAATAATAATGCTCAGTAATAAATTCTATGCCCAAATCAAGTTGAGTAGTTGTAAAAAAATAATTTTATAATATGCTACTAAACCAAAATCTCTGAAAGGTCCTTGCAGAGAACTCCATGTAAAACATCTTATAACATGATGCCAGTAAAGGCATCATTTGGAGAGAGATACAGCAGAGCAAACAGCAGTTTACATGGGGGGACTGTACAGCTCAGTGGCAGAAATGCATGCTTAGCGTGCCTGAGGTCCTGGCTTCGATCCCCAGTACCTCCATTAAAACAAACAAGCCTAATTACCTCCCCCACAAAAAAACACAAAAAAATAAGTTTATATGAACTTGAAATATTTCCATTTTTTAAAAGTAAAAAGAAAAACTATAGTGTAATTTCAGCCATTAGGGAGCAATGAAACCATCAGAAAGGATACGTATTCCATTCATGCCTGAAATCTTGAAGTCATCAATCAGCTGCACTACCATGTCTTTATTTGGGTCACTGGGATCACTTTCTCGAACCTATGGAAAGAAAAATGAATTCAAGAACAGTAGCGTTTAAGACTAAAAAGCCATTTCCATAACACCAACCAAAACTATTTCAATAAAAGCAATGTTTTTATAAATAAAAGAAATTTGCTAATATTAATTAGTTATATACATAAAAAGGATAAGCAAGTTTCTTCTGTATAGCACAGGGAATTACATTCAATATCTTATAGCAACCATAACAAAAAAGAATACGAAAACAAATATGTATGTGTATGTATGACTGAAACATTGTGCTGTACACCAGAAATAATTGACACATTGTAAACTGACTACTTTAATTAAAATATTTTAAAAATAAATAAAAGATTCAGTATTTGACCTTATAATGAATTCAACTTTACTTTAGTTAATACCCAGAAGAATCCCTCTGTAAAATCTTACGTCATTAACTTTTCTTGTAGCATTCACATTTTTGCAGCACTTACACATTTGAGCAATTTTATCTCATCCAAGGCTGTCTCCGTATAATGCTGGGCACTTTTTACAACCTTCATTGCAACAAATCTTTTCCCCCTATAAAAAACACGCATTTAAAAAAGTATTATTAGCAGAGCTGATCATTATAATGAAATCTATCCAGTAAACAGAAACTTTTAATAAGCTTTCCTTTGAAATAGTACTTTCCAAATTGTGGGGCCACAATTAAGTAGTGGGTTCATGAGTCAAATTATCTCATTTTCATTTTGTTTCTATTTTTTCCTAATAAAAGTAAGGCAGACTAGATAAATGTCAGAGTTAATCACATACAATTAAGACTAAGTATTACCTTATAACCTTTGTTTCAATTCATACACACACATGTGTGTGTATACTGTCGCAATGCATTTTCAGACTACTGGTCATGACTTTTACAAAAAGTCAAAACCCACTAATCTGAAAGACCTATACATTATTACTTTATATTTGAATGTTTTCCTGGTATGGCTGAATTACTAGAACAGGACCCCAGTGTAGGACAATTTCAAAGAATAAACTTCAAATATAAAGGCAGAAGAAAATATATTTAAAGATGACAAGAAAATGAACTTCAGGTGGGGGGGAGGGGGAGTCTGGCTAGCACATAGCACATCTGTGCTATGCAGTTTATGCCACAACAGAAGGGTGCCTCTGAGCCTTACCTTGTTATACTATAAAGATGCTGAACTAGACCAGGAACCAAAGGCACAAATGACAAAGAACACTTACTGCATATCCCAGCACAGCCAGACAGTAGAGAAGTGTCCCCATCCTAGCTTCCTAATAACATGATACCGGCCATTGAAGAGATCTCCAATTTTCACTGGATGATAGCCACCTTTTATTTAAAACACAGAAACAAAAAAAATTTTGAATTTTAGAAAAATGGTAACAAAGTCTCATTTCTTTCTTTGTCGTTCTTGATATCACTAAAGAAAGTACTAAATAATAAAATTGGGTTAAAAACATTATAATATTTTTTCAAGAATGTCTTTCATCAAGAAAAAAGTGTCCTATGTCTTTGTTAGGCTTAAACAAAAATTTAACCTAGAAAAGCAATGAACCATATTGACCACACCATAACAATAACTGGAGATTTTATATTTAAGTCTAGGTGTATATAATACACACATACCAGCTCTTGCTACTTCTGAACAACCTTTTTCTCTTCTAAGCAGTAAGTTAAATGTAAATATTTGGGAATCAGTTTAACATAACTCACCAAAACACCAATAGTTTATGCATAATCAACAAGATATTGTGTAATGTATGACAATTTATCCACCAACAGAATTTGCTCCTCTCATCACTCTTTCTTACCCTCAAACTCCTGCCAGAAAACGGGCTGGAGAGTGCAAGAGGGCACCCTGTTAAGGCAGATTCTCAGGAAGTAAGGATGCTTCACACACATCTAAAAGAACTTCACTTTGCATTTTAAGTAATCAGAAGGCTACAAAGTAGCATGTACAATATGATACTATTTTTGTGAAACAAGAAAATGTCTGGGAGGGTAAGATGTTAGCAACAAATATCTCTAGATATAAAATAACTCTTTCATTCTTTTAATCTATATTTTATCTGCTTTATCTTTTCCAATTTTTCTAAAACAAAAAAATACTTTCCAACTTTTTATTCTTTAACATCTACTCCTTTTCTACTGCAAAGATGTTACTTCTCATTTTCTAAAATCTGCAAATCACTCAAGAAAGACATGGATAGTCTGTGCCTAGTGTGGAGACGCTCAAAGCACAAAGCACCTAAACCACATCCTCCAACACATCTATGTAATTCTCAGAGGGCTTACATTTCAAGTTATATTTCAAGAAATATCATGAATGTTGATGAATATTTAAATTGTATTGAATTAGTAAAGCAGGAATTTGACGAGATACTGAGTATTCTAAAATTCTTACTCTCATAACACACTTGCTTTTGCTGGACTTTAATACCAAAGTCTGTAACAACATATTGGGCAAAAGATATGAATTAAAAAATAGTAAATTAGGAATAAAATATAGCAAATTATTAAATAAACGGATGGGTGTTAACAAAAAGTATTATGCAATCATTTCACAATATAGACATATGTGAAGTTATTAGGCTGTCCGGCTTAAATGTACACAGTGCTGTAAGTCAATTATATCTCAATAAAACTACAAGAAAAAATGGCTTGCATAGAATTACTTACATAGAAGGCTAACTAAAATTAAAGTGGGCTCTCGGTTCAAACCACTAAAATTAACACTGAAAAGGAGGAAAAGAAAACCATTATTATTTAGGTGCAAATTAGGGGTTCTGTGCTAGGCACTGTATTTTCAAAACCACTTTCCAGGAAACAAAACTAAACTGAAACATGTTGCAGACTTTCTGTAATGGGAGCAGGGGAGGGGAAGGAAGAAAAGAGAAGTTCTGTCTGGGAAATACAAAGCTGAATAAAGTAAGGCAGATTTCTTGACCAAAGAGGTTCTCAGAGTTCAATGTCTTAACACACAATGGGAACTTCTAAGAGAACAGGGAATGCTACAAATTCCAACAAATGATTTGTGCTCATGAAATCATTTCTTCAAAGGATTAGTTACATTTCATAGCATGAAGTATTTAGGAAACACTGATGTCCATTGTTTTTTACAACCACTGTGCAGAGTAGACAGTACTATTTCTACACTGTTGAACTGGATAAAAGTCTCAGAAACAGGTAGTACGTTCAGGGCGGGAAACTGGGTCTCACTCAGCCCATGCTCTCTGTTCACTAGTAAGAAATGCATTCCATTTTTATTACACAGAGGACCTGGTCTTAGTACACAGGAATACTTGATAGCTTAATCGAAAGCCATTTATCATTTAATTGCATATTACTGCTAACATTAACGTTTCTGAATTTAAAACTAATTTAATTATACATAAAGAGAAGAAACTTTTATCAGTATTGTATACTTCAGACTTGAATTCCCAAACAGCCAGTGTGTGTACATGTGAGCTAAAGTGCACAAGCACTAACTCCAGTGTAATCACAGCATCAGAGCAACCATTCTTTTTCTCAATGGGACTGGAAGTTGAACAAAAGAAATCACGAGCTTAGTCTAGTTAGCTCAGGAGCCCACAGACTAGCTAAGAATACTGTGCCTAAAAATAATCCAACCAAACAAGAGGAGCATGAAAGTAATGATTAAATACAAACATAAAAACAAATGAAAGTACTCAACACTTATCCTACCTTTTATTTTGCAAATCTGATGTGCACAATTTCAGATCTACAGTCCACATACTTTCATTTCCTTACTCCCAGATTTCTACAGAAAACGACAGTCTCTTTCACTTTACAATCTCTTTTCACAGAACAGTAACTAACATCTAGGCCGCCAGAGGGTGGAGCACATCTCCCCACAGCAGACCACAACAACTGACTCCACACACAGGGAACTAAGAGAAAAATGGACACTCTTCACCAACTCCCTGCACTTAGAAAACGTGTGCCACGACAGCTGTTAGCAGAGGATACCCTGCGACCCACAACGCTGTCTAACACACAAGGAACAGCCAGACTAGACAAGGACCTCCTTTTGCTGCTTCACCATCAGTCAGTCCAGGAGCCCAGGATAACAACAGGACCACACAGGGACCCTCCTGACGGCATCAAGCAGAGAACCAGGAGACACCAGCCCTTGAGGACTGCCTTGACCTAGGGGTTGGGATGACACATTAGTACTTCACTCTTTACACTATTTAATATAAAAATCATGTATTTATCACTTACTTTTCCTTTTATTCTTAAAAAATAACTATTAGATTGGATTACAAACACAAGAGAACAAGAATAGACTATTAAACAATCATTAAGTATGCTGCTCTGGGTTTTTTTTTATTCCTTTGCCCCCTAGCACACCCAAAAAACTATAACTAAAGCTCTACTTGTACTTCTTATAAGTCTCCAAAGACGACAACTCTGAAACTATCTTTCTTAGGTGCTTTGGGGGAATTGTCAGCCAAAGATAAAGACGATTCCCTTTTCCTTGCTGAGCAAAACATAGGTTCAATTTGAACAGTGAATCAAAAGTTCAGAACTCTTATCACAGACAATAATCTGGAATAATTTTCAGCAAAGTCTTTGTTTTCTACAAAAAAAAAATTATCTTTTTTTTTCCCACTGACCTTAGTCTCTCATCTCTCTGATGCTGGCATTTCTCTCAACCAATAAAGGCTTTCAAAGGTCCAAGGAATGATTTGAAAATCACCTCCAAAGTGCTCAGTCTTAAAAGAGGAAGGAGGGGGTAAAAACATATTTCTTCACAGAATGGTAACACAGACACGATTTGGGTCACTGAAGACTTCAACAGTCTTTTCCTGAAATTTTTTAGTGAAAGATTTATTCAGAGAGATACATACTCCATAGACAGAGTGCAGGCTGTCTCATAAGGCAAGACAAAGGTTGGGTGCTTGGCTCAAAGTAAAAGCAGATATACACTCTATAGACAGAGTGGGGGGCCATCTCGGAAGGCAAAGGGGAGAATCCTCCTCCTGAAAATTAACAGAATAAGTAGACAGAAAAGCACTAAGGACATGAAAGAGTTGACACGACCACCAACCAATTTGATCTAACTGACATTTATAGAACCTTCTACTCAAAAGAGAGTATTCAAGCACATCGAACATCTACGAACACAGACTACGTACTCGGCCATAAAACAAGTCTCAATAGAAATTAAAAGATTCAAGTCACTTAAAGCATGTACTCAGAACACAACAGAATTAACTTAGAAAGCAGTAAGAGAAAATATCCCCAAACTGGGAAACTAACACGCTTCACTTCAAAATAAACCATGGAATAAAGAAGAATTTTTCAAAATTATATTCTATATACAAAATGAAAATTAAAATACATTAGAATCTGTGAAACACTGCTAACACAGAACTAAGGAAAACTTAGAGCACTAAATACCTAGATTAGAAGATTTCAAATCACTGATCTATTGCCACCTCATGAAACTAGAAAAAGACCAAATGCAACCCAAAGTAAGCAGAAGAAGAAATATTAAAAATATGAGCTATAATCAGTAATATAAAAACAAAAACAATAGAGAAAAATCAGTGAAACCAGGGGCTGTTTCTTTGAAAATAAGAAAATAATAAACTTAAGGCCAGGTTGACCAGAGCAAAAAGAGAAAACACAAAGCATCAACACAAGGAATGAGTGAGGTAACATCACAATATATATTACAGATATTAAAAGGATAATAAGAAATATTACAATGTTATGCTTATAGACATGAAAACTTGGGTGAAATGGACAAATACTATGAAAGACACAAAACACCTAAGTGTTTCCTTCTAATCAAGAAAAAATACATATCTAACTACCCCTATAACTACTTTTTAAAAGTTGTAGTTAAAACCTTGCCTTAAAAAAAATGAATTGGTGAATTTTCCCAAATATTTACAACAGAAATATTAACAATTCTACACATTCTTCCTAAAAACTGAAAAAGGAAAAATACATTCTTTGACTTAAATTACAGCAATATTTTCTTAAATGTGTCCCCCAAGGCAAAAGAAATATATGTGAAAATAAACAAATAGGACCTAAGCAAACTCAAAAGTTGTTGCACAGCAAAGGAAACCATCAACAAAGCAAAGAGACCTATGGAATGGGAGAAAATATTTGCAAACAATGTGACCAACAAGGGGTTAACATACAACTCAATAACCAAAAGCAAAGAAAACAAAAATAAACAACAACAACAAAAAAGGCAGAATACATAGGTATTTTTCCAAAGAAGATATACCATTGGCCACCAGGCACTTGAAAAGATGCTCATCATTAATTAGATAAAAGCAAATCAA